ATACTTGTAGAAGGGTGGTCCTTCATTCTCTGCATAACCAGCTTATAAAACAGCAGGCATAGCTGAGGGCAGGAAATCAAACTTGATGTTCTGATGGAATATGGCAATTCCTAGAGCACTACCAGTGGTTCATTTCCATACAAAGTCCTCCAGACAGCCAGATCGGAATTTCACACTCCCTTGGATATCTCTGTCAACAGAATTTGCATGGCATGCAGTATTTATGGCATCCTTCAGGCATTCCACAGGACTTGTCTCACACTGGCATCTGCACTTGCCCAGGTGCATGTCACATTCCCTGACAGGTTATGGAGGAACCCCTTGGCACAAGAGCTCCAAGAGGCCGTCATGGGACTAAGTATCTAAATGTTTAGTTGGGATTATACTGAGACTGTAAAATATTATGAATTAGCCCTGTGAAAATACCTATTCAAGGCAAAAATTAAGACACAGCAGGCATTCCACATAAAGAAACCGTCTGGCACACCAATAGCTAATTGGTTGTTATCGTTTAGTATATTTGCAGAGTGGAGCATAAGGAAACAATTAAGCCTGCATACCACTTAAAAGCTGTAAAGTGATTTTTGAAAATCTTGTTTGATAGAAAATAAGAGCAGCTTCCAGCCTGCTAAGGAGGCAATGCAGTTTTCTTCTGGTGTTATATCACTTAGCATTTAAAATCAGAATGCACACTCTTCCCCTACTTTTATTGTCAATTATCTTCTCTTTAATGAAACTGCATATTTTAGAGGGAGGAAACAATCCCACACTTCTAAAAAAGTGAACTGAACAGGGGCTATTTACTTTAGTGTTTAGTAACATCAGACCAACTTCCCTTCACACAAAGAGTTGGCTTGTAGTCTATTTCCTGAGCAGCATTTTCCATTCAAATATGTGTTAGGTAGCATTTTCCCCCTCAGTTATTGGAAAGCATGCAAAATAAATACTAGAAAAAAATGTAGCTTTCATTTCACTATAGAAAGCATACACATTTAGGGGTTTAGCACAAGTAAATTCCCTTTGAAATAAGGATCTCCCAGCCAAAGTCTAGATAAAGGGGTGAAAAAGGAGATATATAGCAGTTTCCTCCCCTATCAGCATGCTAAGCAGAAAATTCACATGTGATTTCTAGCAAATCTTTTCAGTGAGAGCAAGATGAGAGGTAAAGACAAAATATGTTTCACTGAGCTCTGGAAATAAAATACATTCCCTTTTGGTAAGATTGACAGGGGGTTTTGTGTCTTTTTCCACTTGTTTGGGATGAAATCTATTTGTGTATAACCAGCCTGTGGACACATCATCATCCTATGTATTTGATATACTTACATATAGCACATCTTTTTGTCATCTATAAGATGTAGAAATGCCTTCTCCACCCACTTCCCCCACTTCAAGGAGTCCATCACAGCAAAACATAATTCATGTGAGTCAAAAAATATAAACTGAAACATGTTGCTAGGTTTTCTACTGTTCCAACACTTGTCCACATGTGCAGTGTATGTGCCCCTAGCCACAACTTCTTTTCAGAGCTCCCCACCATCTCCTCATGGACTGGGATGATTCTGATGAGGGTTGTAGTCATTTGTCTGCCCCCAGCACCAACTTCACCATAATGCTTCCTAATGGCTTCTGAACAGGCCGTCCATCTGCTGCCCCCAGGTGAGCTGACAAACTCTTTTCTGCAGCAGGGAGCAGCCAGCAGCTCCTTTGGAACTGGAGCTGATTTCCTTTCTGTGCACAGCACTGCAAGTGCTGCTGAACGGCCCTTGCCTGGGCCCTGCTCCTGCCCCTGCTTCCTCACATCATCACCTCATTTTTATACTTCTGGCCATTCCACAGCGACACCAAAGATGCTAGAGGATGATCTTGTGCCTCCCCCTGCTCTTTCAGACACTTATGGACCATATTGGATTTCTTAAGTATCCCAAGGACACACGGGCGTTATTGAATCTGGAAAAATACTTGGTAACTCTTCTAAATTTACCTCCCCTGCACGCCTTGATCTGGACATATTCCTAATGATTCCATTCCTCTGGCTCTAAACAGAGTTCTTAGATGCTGTGTGCCCTCTTCATCTTCAGTTTTGGACATAATTTCCACCTCAGCTTGATATCCCACTCCCAGCACCCTGCTTGGAGCTGTTAGAGCTTGGTACAGTGCTGAATCTGGTTTTTTGCAGAGGTTGGGTTTTTTCTGTTTAGTTGGGGGGTTTTCCCCATTATTTTTTTTCCAAGAACATCTCATGAAATCCATAGCAAAGGCTATTAAGGGCCTCTTTCTCATATTAGTGTCCTGACCCCAAAACTGAGCACTGCAAGATGATCTACGCTTTACAGAGTAATTGAATGAATATCACACTTAGGAGTTTTTGCCTGGAGCTTCTGAGGTATTATATTTTATGGAGGCCTTGACACTTTCAGGACAAGTGTCAAAACCTGATTATAATTTGTTTTGACAATATTTCTGTTAAAATATATAGGGCATCACAAACAATATTTTTGACCTTGTACTTTTTTGAGATCCGAGAGCGCACAAGACTTCACAGCAATCTGTCAAAAATATTACTGTATCTTGAACATGAACTTCAAATTCTTTCTACAGAGCCATTTTTATATTTTATTTTTAAAACAAAAGGAAGACGTAGTATTTGTCCCAAAGTTAAAACTGACAGCAATAATTATGGCTAATGAAGACAAAAGGACAAGATTTTATGAAAGTTTGTCATTCTGACCTGACTGAATCATCTGATGTGTTCTATTTTCAAGTGGGGATTTTATGTTAAAATAGCCATAGCTTGCTACCATCACATGTAAAAGGGTTAAGGTTATTGCAAGGTCTCTCTCATCTGGAGAGGAAATTGTTTGGGTAAAACTCAAACAATTTCAGAGCTTCCTTCTTTATTATTAAAGCTTCCTTCTTTATTATAAGATTAGATCTGGTAACATCCCCCTGCATTATGCATTGGCATTCTGGCAATGAATTACTAGTACATTGCTCAAGATTCAAGATCTGGTTTTAAAATTTATTTTGTAATTCCAAGTGTCAGTTGAAAGAACCTGGTGTTATTATGGTCAAATATTTTATTGCAAGGTGTCCTATTAATCCAACACAAAGGTAATTTCTCTGGAATTTTCTTATCAAAACACTTAAAAACTGGCTGGTCGCTACATACTCTCTTCTCAGATAAACCACAACCTTTAGAAGCTGCTTTTTAGTCCAAGTTATTCTCATTAATTCACATCAATGTTTTTCATATTTGATTTGTTACATTCAATAAGTTTGTCCAGCCTTCACTTGGAAATACAAAAAGATATGTGATGCCTTGTTTTTCTGAATTATTATCTACTGGAATAAACTTAAGAAGTTTTACTTATGTTTTTAATTTAATGTCTGGCATTGTCTTCAAATAAGTTGTACCCTTTCTAACCTGACATTTAATTAGAGGGAAGCACAGACCTTTCAGTAAACAAAAGAGAATCCGAAATCTGAAGACCTGGGCCAACTGCTAACCTCCAACTGGAAGTCTGTGCAAATCCCCCTGTAATTCTCAGGGTGTTTATAGTAATTCAAAAAACACAAATTAAGTGTCCTACAGAAAACTGATACACAGCCCAGTGGCTTAAGAAGCAATAGATGGAAGGTGTGGTTCCCGTACACATTCACCTGTCTGTTGACAAAAAACACATATTTTGAGAAAAAAGAGGGGGGAAAAAGCCCCAATGAAGTCCATATAATAATTTCCAAAAACCTCAATTAAAAATCTTGAATTTCTGTCAGAGACGTCTTTATTATAGCTGTCATTGCAGAAATATTGTAATAAACAATTTAGTAAAAGCATGTACTACCTTGGAACCCAGTTGCTCACATGTGGTACCAGTTAGGAAGCTGTTGGTGCCTACAGAGCTGCCACCCCAGGAGGGCTCTCATACATTCTTTGTCACATCTGACAGCCCCCTGTATCAACACCATAACAAATTTAAAAGAAAAAAAAATACAATCGTGCAGCATTCAATAATTATAAGTGAAAAACTACTCTTAGACTTCCTATCAACTTATTTTGCCTCTATAACCAGATTTCATAAATTATATACTAGTCAGTAGCTCAGCTAAAATATTCCATACAACATCTTATGATTTTTAATAGTAACAAGCATAAAATAGTTATATAGGAAACAGCAAAATAGAAATTTTACACATCTAAATGCAATCTCTAGCAATTCAGGTCTTTTCTCATGCTAATAATAGAACTGCTTAGATTTAACAGCAGAAGACAATTACATGTCACGGAGTGGCCTAATATAAAATGAGAAACTTGGAATAGCTACAAGAAAAAATGACATTATTAGCATTCATAGCACAACCAATAATGTACGGTATTCCTATTACTTAAGGGTAACATTTTTTAATCTATTCAGAGCAATCCTGGATATGAAGGTCTAATTCCTGGACACAATCTTATTACAGCATCCAAATCAACAGGACTCCTGCTGCCTTTCCTGTGCTCACAGGACTTGTGGGCACAGGCTGAGGACACGTATTTGTTTAATTATAATGAAAATGTCACATAAAGAATAGGAAGGGTGTTAAATCACCATACAAAGACTTAAACTGGAAGCTGGTAAGGTTTTAATAACACTCTGTTTGTGAATTATGCTTCCAATAACACATAAATGTATTACAGAGCTTTAGCTGGTATAAAGCAGTTTCTTATGGTTTAATGTATTTGAAATGAGAATGGCTGTACTTTGTGGTAACAGAAATACCAATTATGAATCAAACTCTTAGTTTAATTCACTTAATAATAGCTGCAGTTAAGGCAGATGTTTAAAGGCTTAAATTATAAGTTGTGGTTTTGTTGTTTTGCTGTTTTTTTAAATCCCATGGTGGTGTACTGAGTTCTATCTCTAGATAGTACCTCTGTAAGAAAAATTAATATGGAAGAAGGGATATTTGTTGTATGACAAGATTTTTTTTGCTCATGTAGGAAAGCATTATTCAGTTTTAAAAAGGCCTCATCATAATCCCAACCCAAGGGGAGCCATGACAGAGCCTGTCAGCTCAGATTTGTCCTAACTGCTTCTTTTAGGATTCAAATAGCAGCTTTCAAACTCAGCACCCATCCATATATCTGCTCTAGCTGGAAGTGAGAACACCCGGAGTTTACACAGATGGACACCTTTTGGCCTCACAGCAGCTGCCAGCCCTTCAAAAGCCACAGTGATTCTGCTTCCACAGTTCCATCACTGACAATGTATCCACAATATTTCACATAGATTTAATACTAAATGAAATATTAGCCTTTTCATCTTTAAGTTCTGTTTAGCATTTTATCTCAAATTGGCACCAACCCACCCCTGCCATACAACTGCATAGATTTCAGTCCCTAAGTCCATGAAAGCTGTAGTTAAGTGAGTCACTGCACAAGATCATAATTAAAAGTTTATTTGCATTGCACATAATCACCAGTCTTACACTGAATTGTTTTGCAATTACAGAGGTACAGGAATTTTTTAAGAGTTATTAAAGGATTTGAACCTGCCTTATTGCTCTTACATAATCCATCAATAAATCAATTTATTGTCAATGACTGGACTTGCCTGGCATATTCTTCATAGCTGCCTATCCCAATAGTAAAACTCACTTTAGCATTCTGGGCATTTCAGGTCCCACACTTTAAAGTCCAATGCAACATAAATCCCTGATTATACTGCAGCATCTCATCTTTAAAAATCTACAAGAGTGCCAACTGAAACCAGCCCCCTGGCCAAGCACAAGCTTTGGGATTTGCTTCCATGTGCTCCAGCTCCACCTCCAGGTACTTCCATCCACTCCCCATCAAACTTCTTTGAAGAAACAATGTGCTGATACATTAAGGACCTCTCTGAATAATAGTCACACTTCTATCTTATACTACTGCTTCCTCCAAGACTCTACCTTCTCAAGCCCAGAAAAAAAAATCAAAACAAACAAAGAAACCCAAAAGAAAACAAAAAAAATTACTTAAAAAATACATCTTGAAATCCTATTGAAGTCTGTTTTCTGTTATGTTAACCACTGGCTAGCCAACATCCTTTCCTGGACCTTAAGGAGAGCAGCTGCCAAGAAATGGCCTTCAATTTGTTTACACTGCAAAGGCTTTTTTAGAGAATTCCCCTGCAAGAGACAAGTTCCAGATGGATGTTATTTCACGCTATTCCCATATGTAAAACATTTTTAGAAATGCAAGTTACTTTGTATTTTAGCACTTTGCTTAAAGCTAAAGACCAAAGCTTCTCCTTTATTAAGAAGACAGTACATTAGTTCTGCTAATCTCTGCTTCTGCTGAAACTAGTGAAGTTACAGCACACTTCACCATTAGCCATTCCTCTATTGCACACTCAAGTTCCACCTTATTAGTCAGACATTTTTTCCAGGAGAAACTCCCATCTGAATGGGCCTCATGTGTTTAAACAAGAGGAGTCCCACCAGCACTCATCTCCTCTGACCCCGTTCTTGCTCATGGGGTAATGAATCTTCACAGTTCTTATAGTTCCATAATTATGGGTACAAGATGTAGGACTTCCTCCTATTTTTAAATAGTGGCAGCTCATCTCAAAAGATTAAGAAAAAAAAAATCACCTCATTGTATGCAACAGACTAATAAAAATGCTATTATCAGCATAACAGGCAATGTGCAACTCTTGACAGTTCTGCTTGTGGAAGAAGTTATGCAGACTCCTGGAGTCAGGCAGCAAGAACAGCTCTTCTCTTGCAGGCAAATCAAGTATTCCAGATATTTAGCACTGCTTTCCCTTGTGTCAGCAGCTCCTGTGAGCAATCCATCCAAGCAAAGAGGACACACTTTCTGTCTCTCAACAGTGGTATACTTGAATAAAGGCACACAGGCCTCAGTCTATATGTGCAGATAATAAAATACAATTAGCAGGCAGGAGAGAATGGTAGGTGGGTCCCTCAGACAGGCTAAAACCGTAGAAATGTCCCTCAGGCACGTCCTTGTTCAGTCATTTTGTTTGCTGGAGTTGCATTTGTGACACAGGAGTACTCAGGGCTGGGGGCTTGAAGGAGTCTGCAGAAGCCTTCCAAATTCCAGAGATGTGAAATGGGGATAGTTCTACATATCTAGAGTCAGCTGAATGAACATCCAAAAAATCTCCTTTGACTTTGTGTTATCAAATATACACAGCAAGATTGCTGCATCTCAGCAGGCTGAGCTGACACCTCACAGAAACTAGAAGAGCATTCTCAGTTGTATTTCCAGTTCTCCTTCTCATCAGTATCTGAATAGGTGTGTAATGAATCCTTTGAGGAGAAAGAAAAAAAATACCAGAAATTTATTTTGTGCCCACTTCTTAATTCCTTACTGCAAGAGGAGGATCAAAGGATCCCAACCCATCCTTTCACCCAAAGGACCAGGTAGTGTTACACAACCCCAACACTACAGGGGTATTTTGCCACCAAGAGCTGCCCTGCTACATGCCCTCCCTGCAGTTCCATCTCTCCTGTGAAGGTGTTGATCTGGCTTAGGAAGAAAAACAAACATCTTGGTGCCCACCTCTCTCATCCTGGTGGCACAGGGCAGCTTTGCTGTGTGGGATTTTCCTTTACCTGGGCTGGAAGCTGGTGGTGCCTCAGGTGCCTGTAGAAGTGCAGCACAGCAGGGTCAGCTCTCACTGCTTTGGGGTCGAAATCCAGGACTCGGAGCCCCGCGAGGCTCCGGGCACGGGACAGGGCCACGTAGGCCTGGCCGCTCTCAAAGACACGGGACAGGGAGATCTCCACACAGTCCAGAGACATGCCCTGCCAAAGGCACAGAGGGCTGGCTTACACAGCAAACAAGCAGCATTGGGATGCAGCAGCACTAACCTAACCTGTGAGTCTGTCCAAGGTACCGTCTTTGGGAAAAGGTTTTGATTTTAAAAAAAGAGTATCAGCAGAAAGCAAAGGCATTTTTCCACTGTCAGGAAATTTCTAGTAGACAGTAGGATCCACTAACTAACTCCAGGGAGGCTCTTGCTGTGTGAAACTCCATAAATCTCATCTAATCAACATAGCAGGGACAGAAATCCTGCTGGTTTCACTCTTAGTACTTGTCCCACGTGCAGCAGAATTCACAGCATGGCCTAGCTTAAACTGTGGCACAGGAATAAACTCAGGTCACAGGTCTCCAAGACCAGTATTTATCAAGTATGAAGTCTTATGGAAAGAAACGAACTTTTAAAATATTACACTGTTACATTGAAAGTTATATTGAAAAAAATCCCCACTGCACACCACCAAAGGGTGAGTCCAGCCCAAAGAGCACAGCTGTGGCTCCAGCAGCCTCCTCGGTGACACTGCAGAGCTCAGGTCCCCAATGCTTTCAGGGGAGCACTACTCTCATCAGCCCACAGTGATAAATAATGCTGCTGTATAGCCCAGCTCCAACTCTGCAGATGGCAGTGCCCTTAGGGAAACCCCAGCAGCACTGACAGCCCCACTTTCTGCAGCTAGACACATATTCTGGAGTTCCCCCCAGCAAGGCCCTTTCAGCTTTCCCTCCTGTTTCACCAGCAATACAAGCTCACCCAGGAAATAAGGTTTGTAATGGTGTAAAGGTCTATAGACAGCTGTACAACCACACCCACCTGACTCTTGTGAATGGAAATGGCCCATGCCAATTTTAAAGGTAATTGCTGACGACTCAGATGAACTCCTGATGGTCCTTTGATGACCCATTTCTCCATCTTTATGAGCTGTGTGACCCCACAGAGAAACCTCACCTTAGGCAGCCCTGTGGGAATGGGAGCAGGAAAAAAAACAGAGATGTATTCCTGACGCTCAATAGCCAGGATGTCAGCACCTAAAGAACACCTTTTTTTCTGCCTAAACCAAACCTAAATCCACAGAGAGTTAACAGCATGTCCTGAAATGATGTTTGACATCTACTTAAGCAGATGAATTAAAGGCAGGTATTTTACCAGTTGAGGTGCAGAGAAAAATACATTTTGCAGGTAGCAGAACATTATTCTTTGAGAAAAGCAAACAAAAATTAATAAAAACTTGCTTCAGCAGAACAAACAGGAAATTCAAATGAGCACACACATTTACATACAGAACACAAGAGGCCTACACAGATAGCTGTAGCTGATGCAGTGCATGACATCACAGCTTGTGAGAGCCCCAAGCTTGCAGAGATCTCTCTGCTTTCCCTCAAATTATTACCAAGCTGTAAACAAATTAAGAAGTCATCAGCCACCAATTACACACTGTTTTGTTATTTTCCCATGTCCTTCAACAAAAGATCAAAAGGCTTACTCACCCCTCTGTTCACTTTCAAACCCTACAACAACACCTCGTGCCCCATTCACCAGCCCTTGAGACACATCAAGGTTCTTTGCTAACATCACCTACGGAGAAAAAGAAGTATCTTCAATGCACTGCTTCTACAGCCTGTTCAGCTACCTGCAGCTAAACCTCTTGCCAGGAAACAGAAGCACATCAGGCTGATTTGGCCAAATCGTCCTATCCTGCCTATTGCAGCACCATCTCCCATTTGATTGGAATTATTTCATAGCCTTTCCTTCCTAGGATTCCTAACTACATCATTTTACAGCACTGAACACTTTACTTGAGCTATTTCTATCCACAGCTGTGAGCTCAGATCCAGGGAACAGTTTCCCCTTCACCAGGCATTATCAGCCTATGCATGTAGAGATTCTGGGAACAGCAAAGGAACAAGTTTCCAAAGCCAACAGTGCTACTAAGTACAATCCCACATCCTTTCCATTCTGACAGCCCCAGCTCAGAGCTAGATGCCCAGTCCAGCAAATGTGGCCAGCTGTGCCCTACCTTTACAGGTGGGGAGGGCTGCTGTACCTGGAGCTGAGACTGCAGGCAAGGACTGCTTATGCTCTCTGTTACTGGAAAGCTTCTAAATTTGACTGGACATGTCTGTCCAAGTCACAGCAATCACCACTGTCCTCAGGACATGGACCTGAACTCATCTTCTGTCTGGATAAGACTCTAAGCAGAAAAGATACAGAGATTGGGACAGAGTCTTCTGTTGGCTGGGCATAGTCATTCTAGACTGAATTGCATTCTATATATTAATCTACTCTATACATTTCTCTGATATTCCTCCATTTTTCTTATGCCATTTGTTCTGTTCTATCACACATGTATGCACACACACTTACCTGAGCTCCAAGCTTTAGCTCAACTCTACCACCCACAGGACACTGAGCATCAATTAACTTCACTAGCATTGGGTCACTGTCCAAAGCCTCAAACACATGCACTTCTCCTGTTGAGGAAAGAAAGACAGAACTTACAACTGTTGAACATACTCTACACAGCATTTCAGGAGGTTCAGCATTTATTTCTAACAGCAATTCCTTTTTTAACATCCATTCTGCTCTGCTGCTAAGACATCCTCACACAAACCTAGTCACATCTAACAACAGAGAGATCACTATTGCCTCTCTTCCCTATCTAACTTCCAGAGCATGAAAAGGCACAGGAATGAAAGGTCAGCAGTAACTAAGAACTGAGAAGACAGCATTTTGAGCAGTCTCCCTCACTACAACAGCAGATCTCCAAAGCAGACTAAGGAAGAATCCAAGGGCCAGCAAGGGAGACAAAATTTAAATAGACTTTAATTCAAGTCATGGCTGGATAGAGCATGGCCTTTCTAAGATGCTATAGAAAGAAAAAGTAGGGGTGTGGAGGCAAGCAATGAGCTTGCTGTTTCTTACAAACCAGTGACATTGTGGCTTTTTAAACAAAAAACTGAATTTTTTTCCTCAGACACCTCAACTCCAACACACAGAGCTTGGACTGGTGCTGCTGTGATGACAGAACACTGGTCCCACCCCAGTACCTCCACTGCACCCACACAGAGCTCAGCCCCAGAGCCAGCAGTTTCCTCCACCGAGTTCACCTGGGAGCTGTTGCAAGCGTCTCTCGTTGGTTATTTCTACATCATCTTTATGGGTGCACAGCCTCGTAGCAAGGATCCCATCACGCTCAGACTTGTGAGCAGCTGTCTGCATCAGCTGTCTGGTAACCTCCTCTGTGCACCTGGTAGCCAGGAAAAGGGAATTCTTCTTTAAAGTGATCAGGGACAGGTTTGAGCAGCAGTAACCTCACACAGCTAGATCAGTCTGTGCAAGCCACAGGCCTCCAGAGAGGACAGAGAAGGACACCTGCATAAAGTGAGAGAGCAGAGCCAGTGTGTGCCCCAGCCCTGCCAGCTCAGGAGCCTTTGAATTAATTCACAGAAATTGCACAGGGACCCTAGGAAGTGTCCTTCCTTACTAGAGCAGCATATATGAGACCTATCTATGTTAACTAAAGCATTTATAGCTTTTGTCCACAGCCACACATTCCTGACAGGGTACAGAAAAGTGAAAAACTGCTTTTTCCTTTTTCTCCATCAGTGGGGAGCAGGGATTACAAAGAGAGATGAGTTTCTCCTCACCTGCCTAAACGGATTGCACTCAGAATTGAGACAAAGGTCTTGTCAGTCTGTCTCCGCACTTCAGTCAGCTCCATGTTTATGTGGATGCATTTCCTCCAACTTTTTGCCTGGAAAAATCATTCTCTTGTTAAGAAAGAGGCAGACTTGAAGTATGAGAATCAGTTTAGGAACAGTTTTGCACCTGGAAGCAGAACTTGGTTTCTTCATTCGCCTTGTGGACTGGGGGTAGCTGTAAGAAATCCCCACAGATAATTAGCTGAATTCCTCCAAAAGGCTCATCCCGTTTTCTGACGGCCCTAAAAGGGATAGAAGAGAAGTTTTGAATGTACTCCAGAATCTGGACATAGTCAGGTCCCAGAAGTTACTTCTTTATCTGTCAGTATATTCAAACCTAGACAACTGCAGTGAAAGATGTTTATCCCCAGCTGCCTCAGAAGAGCTCAAATAATTAAGCAGTGCTAGTACAAGACATTAAATTTGCTTTGCTTACCTAGCCCAGAGGTCAATACTGGTCTTGGTTCTTTAGTGGCTGTTATACTACAGCTACTTCTCTCTGCCAAGAGAGACCTTTTGGGACAGAGCTGTATATTCTGGACTCAGCTCGGGAGATGGAGAGAACAACCCAAACAGCCACAGCTATGAGTGAGGAGCGGACATGACCAAAACCTATCTCATGGTAAAGATCGACCCAGATGCTATGATTTCATGCCTCCTTACAGTCCTGCACCAGCAGCTGCCTTGTGTCCATTCACAAAATGAAAGAATGGTGCCAGACTGGAAGTTTAGAGAAATTAATTTCTGCTAGTTTGACCTGACAATTGCTCACCTTGCTACTGCTTCCAGCTTGTCAAAGAACTTGCCATCCACCATTGAGATCTCATCAATAATTAAGTGCTGGCAGGCCAGCCAGTGCTGGCGCACCCCTGGCCTCTCTGCCAGCTGAATGCACTGTTCCAGCGGTGCCTTCCCAGAGCCGATCCCTGCCACAGGACAAAAAAGCAAAGCTTTAGGATGCTCCCGATTCTTTGGGAAGGCAGTAAGAGCTCCCAGCCCCTCGCTGTCGGGCAGGCCATCACCTGCAAAGGCGTGGAGAGTAGTGCCACCGATGTGACAAGCCGCCACTCCCGTGCTGGCTGTAGCGTAGGTGATGTTGGGAGGGAGGGAGCCCAAGATCCTCTTCAGCAGGAACGACTTCCCAGTCCCTTCGAGAGAGAAGCAACAGGTCAATGGGCAGAACTTTCCCCGGGGAGCCGACGAGAGTGGCCGGGACGCTCACCTGCAGAGCCGGTGAAGAAGATGCTCTTGCCGCTCCGCACGGCGCCCAGCACCGCCTCCTGCTCCGCCGAGAGCCTCGCCGGGAGCCGCCTCTCCGCGCGGGGCACCTGCGGCACAGGGGGGGCGCGCTGTGAGGCTGGGCAGGGCCGCTCCCCGGGGCTGGCCCCTCGCCCCAGCACTCACCTCCGCCGGGCGCTGCCCCCGCTCTTGGCCGCGGCCGTGGCCGCCCAGCAGGTCCCGCTCCTGCACCGGGCTGATCACTGAGAAGGACGGCGGCGGCCGCTCCAGCAGGCGGGGGCGGCGCGGCGCTTCCCGCGGCCCGGCGGCCACCTTGAGGCGCAGGAGGCGGAGGAAGCGGCGCAGCGCGTCCGGGGGGCAGTCGGACAGCAGCACCTGGGCGCCGTCCGGTCCCACCCGCACCGCCGCCCGCCCCTCGCCCGCGAACCGCGTGAAGACCCTCACGGCGTCCCCAGCCAGCACAAAGCTCAGCACCGCCGCCGCCGCGCCGCTGCCGCCGGCCACGCGCAGCACGGGCTGGCGCAGCTCGTTGCGGCCCAGCAGCACGGTCGCGTTCCGCATCAGGCGGCGGCGCGGGGCGAGGCCCCCCGGCAGCGGCTGCTCCACGGCCGCCGTGCAGCGCAGCTCCGCCGCCTCCATCAGCCCCGCCGGCCGTTCAAACGCGCCGCGTGCACCGCCGCCAATCAGCGCCGGGGGCTTTAACTCGGCGGCCAATAGGAGACGGGAAGGGCGGGGCGCGAGGGCCAATCGGCGCGCGGGCCAATCGGCGGCCTCGCCGGCAGCACGCGGCGTTGCCGGGGCAGCGGCGCGGGCATGGCCGCTCGCCGCGGAGAGCGGGACCCGCCGGACGCGCGGCAGAACCTCCTCCGGGCGGAGCGGGCCAAGAAGGAGCGCCGCTGGCAGCTGCTCTTTACCCAGTACACTGTGAACCCCGCGCATCCCGGTGAGGCCTCCCGGCCAGCCACAGGGAATCGGAGTAAAGCCCCGGGGGCAAAACAAGCGGTGAGGGGAGTGGGGAGCCGGGGCAGGCCCGCAGCGCTCAGCTGCGCTCAGGGACAGACAGCCACAGCCAGGCTGGCAGAGCGGCCAGCGAGAGGGTAAAGCTGGCAAGGGCAACTGGAGCACTTCCCTTTTGCACACTCAGAGACAGAACAGAGACATGACCCCCTTGCCTAAATGTTGCCTTCAGTAACCACGTACAAGTGAGGCAACTATTTAGGGTATGGAATTTACAAATTCGGTGTAAATACAGAGCCAAGATGGGGTAGAGGGCCCCAACACTACACCCTGTTCCTTCAGGTCCTGATCACTTTCTACCTGCTAATTCACAGTCTGTGCTAGCACAGGCAGGTGACGTAAGTAGATTCTTTCAGGTCCAAGTTTTTCAATAAAACAACAAAGAAAAATGATTTCCTGAGACTTGGCACTCTGCAGGCCATCTCTTGGCTGGGGTGGGACTCCGATATGGTAAGCATCCTATTGAAGCTCCTTTAGTACAGTTAATGCTCTTCCCTTCCTAGAAGTTGCCATTAATCAGTATTTCTAACTCATTTTCTTCTATGCACAAGCAGTTCAATCATACATATTCTATACTAGGCTGTGATGCCAAATTCACATTAAAGTCATTCACCTGTCTCATTTCTCTGCAGTCCACATGGTCTCTAGGAAGCCAATGTCTTGGCACGAGAACATACAGGAGCCCATAGACGGTAAGAAGTCTCTGAAAAGCTTGTGGTAACTACATAAGAAAATTATTAGCACATAAGATTAAGTAATTGTAACCAGTCTAAAATAGCATGTGTGTGGAAACACCTCTGTGACCATATAAGTTAAACTCATTTATAATTTTTGTTTGTAAAGCAGGTTTTTTTTCCACTTTAAGGCCCTTTCTCATTACTTTCCATTTTCAGCACATTTGCAATTATACTCTTATTTTTGTTTTTAATTAAAATATATATAAACTATAAAATAGATAAAATTCCTTATAGTCATACTATAAAATTTTGGTTGAGAATCTAAACCTCTCAGGAAAACAAAAAGACCTAGAAGCATGTTGCCTGCCATTGCAGATTCTACCCAACCACCATGCAAGTTAAACTGCTGAAATGACTGCCCAGTCTTACTTTAGAGTACTGGTAAGAGCCCTTATAGCAGCTGCTCCCTTATTTCTAACATGCTAATTGTGTCTAAAAACCTTAATGGTCAGGTAAGGTTGACTGCTTTATTCAAGGACTGGGGAGGGTGGCAAACCAAACCAGAGAAAGGCTGTAGGTCTCAGGCAACTGAGAAAGTCAAGAGCTGTCATGGAGCACTGGTTTGTACAAGATGTGGTGTAGGAAAAGCAAGATGCTGCAGTACAGTAGGCAGGGATACAGAATTACAGGATAGTACTGTCAGGCAAATCTTGAAACTTCCTCGGGAAATATTTGAGTAAAAATGTCACCCTGCATTCTGACAGTATCATTCACAGAAGCACAGGGGCTGTTTTTAAACACACTTTCATTTGTATTTGTGTCTCGTTCTTTGAAACAACAGATGAATTCCTGAAACTTCTTCACCGTGCAGCAGTGGTGCCAAGAGAGAAATACTCAGAGCCACAAACTGAAAGCCAAGTAATTGGCTGGAATACAAAACCTTTGGTGAGTAGGATGCTTGAAGACTCAGCCCTTTACAGGATTCAGAGATGTTAAACCTGCCACACTGAAAAATACTCAAGCAGGAAAACAATTTGTGACAAACAAGGAAAACAAGAATTACAGGGAATGAGCAGAGCTGTTCACAAAAAATAACTTTTTAAAATTTACACCTAAGAGGACTCTTCACACTGGCAGAAACTCGTGAACAGAGAAGCAGTACACTTCCCCTGAGAAACCTGGCTGCAAAACATCTACAGAGACAGTGGCAGCACACTGCCAAGTGCCACAGGTGTACTCAGGGCTGTTTATTAAAGCACTCAGCCATGAGAAATGGCATAGTGAGCAATGCAGTGTGATGTACTGAAGTACTGTGAAAAGAAACGTGCTGCTGCACAGCATCTTTCAAAGTAATTGCAAGCAGAACCAGAAAATTAATAATCATGTAAGTATACCCAAAGCAGATACACCAGTGAGGATTCATCTGGGGAAGTGCGAATAAACAGAAGGAGAAGAAATATTATTAACAAGCTGAGACATCAATCATATCTGGCAAACAGCTGTGATGATGACTGACTTTGCAATTAGCATTTTGGGAAAGGCAAATTTTGGCCTGTTATAAAGAAAACTAAGATAAATAAGAAAATAAGACAGTCTTCATTGACTTTTCATATTATATATCAAGTAAAGTAGTTAGTAATGACAAGAGTGGAGACAGACATCCCAGCTGGGCTCTGTGGTATTAAGGAACTGCTGGTAGGATTAATCTGGCAGGGTGGAGGCAACTAAACTTGTGTGTAGGGAAGCAAGTTTGATTCTTAGAGTCAGAACTGATGATGTTGTTTAATTTGTTGAGTTTTCCTTATTAGGCAGGTCTGACCATAACAAAGCAGAGAACAGTACAGTGGTGCCCTGCTCTTCTGTCATTTGGACACTTCTCAGCAGTGGAACACCACACATCACTCGCCCAGGAGGGACTCCTACTACTGATTTTAGTAAAAGCCCATGACTGTTTGTGATTCTTGTTTGCCAGGTTCCTTTTGACCGCAGTGATACCAGATTCTACTTCCCACGCCAGACAACTGAGATTACCATCAATGGCTACCCTGCACCACGGGGACAGATGCCTAAAGGCCAGGAGGAAAGCCAAAGATAGATGTTAACAACATCTAATGTCTTAGGTCCTGTTTGTTATCTAGCAAGTCTGGCAGATTTCTAGTGAGAGACAATAGAAAAGAGAACTTCAATCTGTCCAGATTTACAACCTGACAACAGTGTCACAAATAAACCTATCTGTAAGGCTCCATATTTGTCTCATTGCTGTTCCTATACCCATCTACACAGATAATCTAAAAAACCACTCTAACATCTCAAAAAGCTTCAGACTTCTTATTTTGACATTGGCAACATGAACCAGAACTCAAGGTCACCAACAGAATGAAGGGAACAAAGGGCAGACTTCAGCCACCATTCATTGAACAGCTAAACATGAGTTACATAGTTCTGTGCAAACCACTTAATGCATTCACACAAAACAGGTTTAAGTAGAAAACAATCCTTCAACAAAACAGACAATATGAAAAAAATTAAGTGATAAGGCACTGTTTCCCCTGGCTTTTTTTCCTTGCCACTGCAAAGCATCCAGCTTGCTCCACAGTTAACTGCTAGATGACAGCAGAAACACATCTTGCAACACAAAGAAACACAGGAACCCCTCTGGGGAGCACAGTTCTCTTAGCGGGCTCGGTTCTTCATTTTCTGCCTTGCTCGCTTTCCAGGTCTCTTCTGCAAAAAAAAAAAAGATTCGGATTTTTATTTTTATGTTCTCCATCTTTGTTTTAGCTCTATAGCTTGGGGAGGTTACCAAAGAGAGGGTATTTGTCGGAACATCTGGAGAGGAAGGTTTTGGCACACAGGTAGGAAATAACACTTTTTAACTCCCTTTCTGATTTTCCTGCTGATACCAAACCACTGTCCCCAACTCTGTTAGTAACTGAATTATGCTTAGCTCCCAAAGACAGGCATCACTTCCTGATGCTGGAGGCACATATCATGCACTCATCTCTCCCTGCCAGACATGGCCTGGCTTCCAAGCCAACCAGGATCGTTTTCATGCAACATTTTACTTACATTAAGAGCTTTTTTCCCTCCTTTTCCTCCTCTTCCTCCTTTTCCTGGGCCTTTGTTGTGAGCCACTTTTGCCTGGAAGCTGGATACGTCATTAAAACTCTCCTTTGTGTTCCACTTGGAGCCCTTCTTCTTCCCACCAAAACCAAACTTCTGATTTTTGTATCGTCTTTTGGCATTTGGCCTGAAAAACAAACAACCAGCATCACTGCCTACACTCCTTGTTCCAGAAAGCTCTCAAGACACACATATATATGCTCATGGTATCCCATCAACCATCATAAACCTTTCCCCTCTTAACAAAGATTGCAGAAATCACATTTCACTCTCTGCTCCATTTTGGCCATGGTTTTCTTCTCTTTAGGGACAGAAAACCACCTTGGACTTACTTTAACACTAAATAGAACAGTTTTGTTGTTCCCCAAAATTATCCCCTAAAAAATCAGACATTCTGTGTTTAACTCTCTTGTTTCTGGTCTCACCCCTTCTTTGGCCGTTGACTTGCAGTGCCTTTTTTATTCCCTTGAGATGATGTCTGCTCTTCATCCAGAAAGTCCAGCTTGTCAGACAGACCTGCAAGAGTGAAGACATCACAGCTGCATCTCAGGAAAGACAAATTTTCAGTCAAAGCATGTGATAGCAACAGGTCACCCTCACTGAAGAACAGCTGCTTGGGAGGTTTTTCACTGCCACAGGCACACAATTCTGCACAGCAGCAGCTTTCCAACCTCAAGGCCCAGAACTACAGACACAGTGACCACATCACACTGCCCTACACTGCTCACACACCACTATTGATTGCCCCTACACATTAGTGCTCTTAGACAGGTTGACTTTACCTTTCTGGTATTTCTTGACTGCATTCAACATATTTTTCTT